CTTCGTCCTGTCTCTGGCCGAAAATGGCTTTTCGACAGGGTGGAAAATTTTCCTTATTCTTCCCGTTCGAAGGTTCGTCTATCCTTCTGAATCTTTAAGCGACGTCACGTTCGTTGTCAGTTTACTGGCGAGATCGTTCGTTTTCGCGTGTAAATTTCGAACCCAGCAGCCCTCTCCATCCCTTTTCCACGTTCCACGATTCGTGAAAGATTCATATTCTTAGCCGGAGGGCAAGGAAGACGACAATAATCGAGTTCAATTAATCGACTCGAAATAACCGTGGCCACCGTGGACGATGGTTGTTCCATTGGAATAGTCGAGAAACGCGTGGAAAATTTACTCGATTTCGATCGTCGATTTGCTAAGAATTTTAGTTGCCCTACTTGCGACTCGATCGAGGGGATGAACATATTGTGTGTACATATCGAAGAATTTCTCGTGGTGGTTCGAAACATATATATATGACAAGAAAGACATGGAGAAGGGATTTGAGGAGATTGGGAATGGTAGAAATGAAAGGAGTTTTAAAACTTTTTAAGTGTATGATAAACGGAGTAAAGAGAAATGGAAACTCGTCGAATGGAAAATTATTCTTATATTTGTATCGCCGCAGAATTTAATATTTTTAAAAATTAACCCATTCATTTATTGAGAATATTATATTTAATCTGATAATACCTCTCGTTCAATATCAAAAGAATAAATATTTCTTGCAAAGACTTAGGAGAATACTCGATGTCAAGTATCTGAGACGTTCATGTTACTGTTATACAAAATTAAAAATCATTTTATACCATTTGTTTCACAAATACGATATTAATTTTTTACATAATACAAGAAGGAACAAACGTACGTGAAATTTTATCATATATAATTGCATGCTATAAATAATAAAAAAAAATAAATCAATCCAAATAAACGTCCCAACTAAAACACTCTCGTATCGATCCCTCCCCAAAAAACGAGTCTCATCCCGCTAACGAGAAACGATTACACAACAATTCCAACGAATAATAAGCGAATCGAGGAACAACCGTCAGAGAGACCTCCCGAGGTCCATGAACGACCGATCGACCACGCGTCGCTGTCAGTTACGACGACTCGTGTTGCGAGAGTACAAAGGGGTGGAAAAAAAAAAAAAAGAAAAAGAAAAAGAAGAAATAATGAAAAAAAAAAAGGGAGGAGAAGAGAGAAAGAGGAGGGAGCGGGACGGGTCAGCCGGTGAAAAAAAGAAAAAGGAGGGAAGAGAGAAGTCTCGTGGACGGAGAAAAAAAAGGTGGAGGAATAACAAAGCTGGTCGTAGTTCCCACAAAGGTAAAGCATGACCTTCCACTCCCCCTCCTTTGGCTTTTTCTGTCGCTCCGCTGAAATAATACCGACGACGGTAAAACAAAGAAATAAACATGAAAAGACAAAAGGCGGCCGTTTGAATCCGTAATTTGCCCCCGCGCATTGCCTTTTGTTTATAGATGGGGGGCGGAAAGGGGGCTCCCTCCCGCCATCTTTACTCGCCCGTTGCTTCCCTTCCGTGTCGCAGACCCCTCTAAACCCCGTGAATTTTACGGTTACGGTTCTCGTGCTAAACCCTTTTCCTCTCTTGCCAGAGAGTTCTTGAGGTAGGTCCTGGAGAACGTTCTCCTTAGCGCGAGAATATCATCGCGTTTGACGTTGAATTATTATAAAGACGATAAATCACGATAAATTATTTTCATCCATTCTCTTCTTATTTTTGTTACGTGCATAATAATTTCTATTTCTAATTTTAATTCTTTGATTTCTCTGAAAACTCCAAACCCGACATTCGATCATCGTAAATAACCTTACTTTATTTCACGATACATTTTATAATTATCCCATCATCTTAAGATACTTCTCTCGAACTTCAAACGCTAAGGAAATCCTTTGTGAGGCTCGATGACGGGCTCTAGAAAACGCAACAACCATTTATTCTTAATCCTTCGATTTCCATATAACAAGCAACAAACGGTTTGTATCCTTAAAATTCACAATCTCCGAAAAAAATCACCCCCTCCACGATCTTCGAACAACGACAAGTTAAATACGTTTCATCTCGAAGCCTGTATAAAATCGTTCGAAGGGATCGATGGGATAACGAGAAGCGTCTCTTAAAAACCGTGGAGGGGAGGAGAGGGAAGGAGAGGAGGATGGCAGGTTCAATTAAGAGTGCGAGTTTTCAAGGGCGCGAGGGAGGGGAGGGAAGGGGGCGATCAAAGAAAAGGAGGCAGCGTAAAATTTTCTCGGAGGAAACTTTTCACCTAGGAGGAACTCTTTCCTCATTTCGCGCGCACTTGAATTATTCACAAGCTTCTTCTTCCTTCGCTTTTGTTTCTGGGCCAGGGTCGCAGCGATCCCTCCTCCCCCGGTCGACGAACTTTCTCTCTTTAAGTAAGACATTTTCCTAACTACTTGCCGCTATTCACCGGGATCCAGGAGCGGCGTGGCGCGTTATTTAAGCGGACTCGTTCGTTCATCGAGCGGCTCTTCTTAGCACGCGGTTGCCACTCCTCTCCCCTTCCCCTCCCTCCACCCCCATCCTCGCGCCATTCCTCCGCTCTTTTACTTTTACTGCGACAACTTTCCCCGTGAATTTATTACGTGCGCTGAATTTCACGCGCCACTCCTTTTTCCCTTTTTTTTCCCCCTCTCCTCCGTCTTGAGAATGTTTTCGAGGTGTTGTAAGGTGTTGAAGGAAAAGGTTTATTGTGCGGTTTGTATAAATGGCAGGAAAGCTTTGGCGCGAGTATTTTTTTTTTCCTTTTGTGGTAAATAAGGTGAAGAGGGGGAAAAGGTGGAAGTTTTGTTCGAGTGAAAAATGAAAAAGATTTGGTGAGAGATTTGAGCGTAGATTGTAGAAGTGTGTATTATGTGAGTGTATATATAGATTCTTTTAAATTGATAAAATTTATTTCAACGAGTAAAACGGTTTATTAATATTACTTACAGTTATTCGACTCCATCAAACGTCATCTCCAACCCTCAGAGAATTTTCCCTTCTTCAACCTCCCCGGCGTGTTACTCGTCGCTGACGTTCTGCTGCACGCGTCGCCCTGCAACAGACAAGATATATTTGTCAGTAAAGGAAGAAAAGAAAGAAAAAATATCGGAATACACCGCTAATAACGATATCTCGAGCGAGGAATCCTCCCGTGAAAGGGTTGCGCGGGGATGAAAAGGGGCCAGGGGTGAGAAGAATCGTGGAACGTTGCAAAGGACAGGAAGGTGGGACTTTAGAAATTCGAGATAAGACCTCCTTTGTCGCCGAGACGAGGAGTTTTCACGTAACCCTTTCGCCTCGACACCCGTCGGGGGCTGCTCGAAGCGGTGGAAAACCGTGAGAGCCGCGACACCCCTTCGACCACGAGATCCTCCGTGGCCCCTTTTCCCATTTCGAAATTCGTGAACTCTCTGAAAATCGGGATCCTCTCTCGAGAGAGAGAGAGAAAGAGAGAAGAGTCTTGCGCGAAATTTTAATATATCGTCTGACTGGGATAAGAAACCTTTTAAAGGGCTCGTGAAATATTCTCGTGGCCGAAGACGTAGCTCCCAAATGAGATTTTAATTATTACGATTCTGGTTAACGTGTTCCGAGTGCACGAGAGTGGAAATGAGAAAATAAATGGTCGATTGGAACGATTATTGAAGGATAGGTGAATTATTAAGAAGAAATTTTTGATTGTTGCTGGACGGTTCTTGGATCGGAGAATATTGAAACGTAGAACTTGTGGCTTCTGAGTTTGAAACACGATTAAGCATTTCTGTATATTTCGAATACGTCGATAATATAATGTAAATATTTTTCAAACCGTTGTAATATTATTGTGGTATGTAAATATTATGAGTGGTTGAGAACAGAGTGAAAGAAACGGAATGTTTATTTCTGAATATTAGTTATACCTGAGAAGAAAAATTTAAAAATCCACGTGGAAATTGAGATGCATGGTGACACGTGGCAAGATTGTGTGTTATCTGTGTAACATCTTTTATAAATATAAATGGAAGAGGTATTTGAATGATCGTTCTGTGATGAATCAAAATATCATAAAATAACATAAATTCTAAAAATACCATATAATACGAACATAATATAAAAATATCATATATAACATATATTTTATATCACATCGTGTTATTCATAAATTATTTCGAACAATATAAATTTTACTACACCTTTTATTTTTATTTCAAACGTTGAAAAGTACTTACGCGAAATATAAAAATATCAATAATTATAAAGAATTATCTATAAAACCGGAATAATAAAAAATACATATAAAACTATCTATAAACCAATATACACATATACACATATATTATACACATTATAAACTAATATATAACACATATTTTATATCACATCGTGTTATTCGAACAATAGAAATTTTACTACACCTTTTATTTTTATTTCAAATGTTGAAAAGTACTTACGCGAAATTTAAAAATACCAATAATTATAAGGAATCATCTATAAAACCGGATTAATAAAAAACTATCTATAAATATTTAATCGATCCATTATTACACAATTAACACGATATATAAACCTGAATGTATAAAATAAAACAATACATAATATAAAACATAAGCACAAGCTAGAAAAATCCTTTTTCAAAAACATCACTCTCAAAATTACCTACAATACCTACCGACTAATTACTTCATCACGACAGCATCCACCCCGAAGCTGCTCCATCTCCATCCTCATCCAAATCCCCTCTAACCCTCTATCCGACTATCACGAAAATTAGCCCCGCGGTGGAAGTAGAGTAGAGCGGCACAAAGTGCATCCGGGGCGCAGGATCTCGCGTGGAACGGTTTAAGCAGGGCTGCTTCCGCTTATGTGTGTCAGGAGGGTGCTACGAGCTCGCTCAGCCTCCTTAGGCGAGTATCAGTTATTGATGGAGAAACATCCGCGTCGAGGCGACAGGACAGGAGGTTGGATTACATCCGTCTACGGGGACGAATCAGGGGAAATCGGATCCCGTGACGTTTAGTCGACGCGCAGAATTATGCACGCGGTTAATTTCGAAGCGCGTTTTCGTCCCCGCAGATCACGCGGAATCCTCCATCCCTTTTAGAGGAGGATCATCTCCGTTTCCGCGAATCCAGTTCCCGGATGTCGCGCCATTAACCGTCGACCCGTGTCGCTGGTAGCTTTGAAGAAAGTTCAATTCTCGGGGGTAATTATTTATCGAGCTCTATCGAGAGTTACGATGGAGTGGATTTTTGAGGGTGGAGATGAGATGGAAATTTTGAGGAAAGATTTTTGGTTATTTAGAATTATATTCAAGTCAAACTGATATAAAATATTAAATATTCTTTGGTGTATTATTTATATATTTAATAATTTATAATTATTCTTGAATGTCGAGATGGATTTGTATTGTTTCATCCCCCGTACTAAATGAGAAGAATACAATGAATATGAAGTATTTTTAAAAATTGTGAATTATTCCCAAATTTCCCAGTTATAACGATTGAAATTAACCTATCATAATATATTCATAAATAATTACAATTATCGATAAAACAAACAAATAAGTTACACCAAATCTTTGACAAAATAATTCCTAATCCATCGACAAGTGAATCACTTTACCAACGTGAAACAGGATAAACCAAATCCTCTAACAATCTTCCGCATCATCTTCACTCCTTCATCAAATCCAACACGAACCCTCGTTCCCCATTC